AGGGGGGACCTACGGGTGCCACGGCCCCCCCAACAATTTTAATTTTTTTTTATATACATATATATTACTATATGGCACCCCCTATTTTTAATATAAACTCATATGTATAATTAAATGAATAACCCAAATTTATTTTTTTATTCAACTTTTGGACTTCTGGTACGGCCTGCTATGTGGTATCACTTTGGAATTTTTTTTTTTTTAAAAAAATGTAGCGCCTCATTTGATCATTCCAATTCTCGGCCCCCCAGTATTGAAATCCTGGCTCCGTCATCATGATCACTTTGGATTTGTTTGGAAAGGTATCTCCAAAAATATTTCTAGGAAAAAATATGAACGAAAATTGAAATAAATATCTTCATATGAGTTAAAAATAAAATTTTAGAAAAATTAATAGTAGAAAAAAATTATAAGTTAGTTTGTACATAAACTAATTTTAATTTATAGAAAAATTTATTTTATTTTTCTTTCTGATTTTTTTCTCTCATATATAGTTCTGAAAAAGATTGTCTAAACATGCCTTTTACATAATTAATGAAACAGAAGAAGATGGAAAAACATATTTTAACTATTTTTTTGGGGGATGGCTCTTAGCATAAACTGATGAGTTTGATCCTAACTCTTCTTTTGAATGGAGATGGTTTATTTTAAATCACTTGACAATTCCATACAATTTTGCAGAGACATTTAAGATTGATAGCTTCACTATATATAGTGCTATTGTTCAACTAATTCAATTTCATGTTCAAACCATTGATTGAGTTTTACAGGGGCATTTACAGATCGGGAAAAACCAATAACGCCACGTTAATTAAGCAAGATTATCTTGGCATTTGAGAAGACAGCAAAGACATCTTGTCTCAATTCGTAAATAATCCAGAATGCTATATAACTAGAATTCAATTATATCATTCTCTTAACATGCATAAACTAAATTAAAATTTATTAAAAATATATAGAAATTTATTATTTTCAAAGTTTTTTTTTTTTTTTGAATTTTGCTTCAAATATTTAAGGAGATTTGAGTGAGAGAATATAGGTTTCTTTTGTTGGAAAAAAAAAACGGGAAAAAAAAATGTTCTTTAAACTTACATTTGCAAATCAACAGCATCTCAATTAGGGAAGAAGAGGAATAGAAGTGCTTCTTACTTATACGATATAACAAATATATATATATATATATATATATATATATATATATATATA